ATGGAGAATGAAGAGGCCTACTACGCCGTATCTAATGCGAAGAGACATGGCCACGTCATCTTAATTAACGAGCATATTAACGCTTAAATTGACACGTGGCCCACTTAAAGCGGAGCCCGTCCGCGGGTTGAATTCGTCGTTTAAACTCGTAACGCCCAAGCTCGTCTGACATTTGACCCATTTAGGACTCGCATACCACTCCGGAATTCGAGTCAGCCGCAGTTTTGCCTGCATACAAAATTCACCTGCAAACAAAATTCGCATACAGATAAAACAAGCCTGCAGCTAAAACTCGCCGACAGCTAGAATCCTCCTGCAGCTAGAATTCCCCTGCGGCCAAAAAGTGGAGCGCACACAACAGAAGTAATGACTAGAAACAAAGAGATAATTTCATTCATTAAAGGAAATTCTGATACAACGAGGGAATCAAAAGCAAATTACAAAGCTCTCAACCGCGACTCTGCCTCACGAAGCTCCCCAGCATGGCGAAGCTCGAGCCTCCTCAGGATCTCTCGGTGAAGATATTCATCAGTGCGCGAGACTAAGTCTTGGACGGTGTGTTTAGCCTCATTGAGGGCTCGGTCTTTCTCCTCAACAGAACTAGCGACCAGTTACCGTCGAGACTCGATTTCCTCCAACTCCCTTAGCAGCTGTTCAGGAGTCTCCTACTGAGTAGCTAGTGAGGCCTATGCATTAGCAATGATTTGCTTAAGCTTCACTATCTCCGAAGACAAGCGAGAGAGACGGGAGTCAGCCTTTTGTTGCTCGAGGCTCACTCGTTCATTCTCGGCCTTGACACGCTCTAACTCTTTCGACAACCTTGCGCCCAATGACATGGTCTTGTTCAGTCTGCGGTCACGCTCCTCCAATGCTGCTTGAACCTTGACGAACGTGAGATGAACGATCTCGGAACTCTTCGCACGAAGGATAAGCAACTATTGGACAACCCGCTCTACCTCTTCCAAACGCTTGAAGTACGGCTTAGCCGCGGTAGCACCAAGCTTCTTGATCAGGAAAACCATATCATAATCGAGGTCATCCTTGAACTCCTCGAAGGGGCAACTCTCTTCCAATGCGAGCTTGATACAGTTCGCGAGAGTGTCTTGGAAGTTAGCAAGGGTCCACACCACCTTTCTTCTGCGCGAACGCTCCAAAGGAGAGAGGGTAGCCTCATCTGCCGCAGACGTCATAGCCAAAGCCTCAATCAAGGGGCCGGGGGTCATGACGTTAGAGGTGGTAGCAGAGGCCGTCAAAATCAAAGCGCCAGCCAACGTCACTGGAATATCGGCCGCGAGACGACGGTAGTCACTAAGGATGTGGAAACAGTCACCAGTCGAGCGGGTGTCTCCCCTCGGATTGGAGACTCCTGCACCGACGCTCCACCCCCGGCCAATGCTTCTTTGGGAATAGGGATTTCCCCTTGTTGGTCTGGCACCTCTTCTTGAGCCAATGCCTCCTCCTCATTCGATATCGCCTCGTGAATCGAGGCATCATCGTCTGCTTCTGATTCACCTATCTCTCCGGCTGAATGGCCCGCCCAAGAGGGGGGATCCTCTTTGCCAGTAGCTACATGGGATGGGTCAACTGCGAATATAAGAAGAGGGTTAGTAAATGCCCCTCAAGAGGAACCCTATTGATAGTTCAGTATGTTTGGGTCAGCAACGCTAGATCCTATCCTTACCTGATCCACCAAGCTCCTATTCATCCCCAGTTCCCTCCTCCTCATCGGAAGGGATGGAAATCACCTTCTCAATCGTACCTACATAAAGTCAACACAAACATCAGAAGGTGCGGATTTGACATTACACCTGAGAGTATGGTATTAAGGACTACCTCCTGGTATGGTCGTAGGGGTTGTGGAGGCTTCCGCCTGTGGTCTCACATCAGATTGTGGAGGAGCATCCTCCGAAGTCGTCGGGACTACCCCCGGTACGGTAGAGGGAGCGGACGAGACAGCCCCAGTCCCAGAGGCAGTCACTCCGGGAATGATCACCTGAGCAGTGTCATCTTGGCCTTCCGCTGATCTGGCAGCCTCAACCATCTCTTCACGACGGGCCTTCTTGTCCGTCTCCACTCAGGAGCTTTCGGTCGCGGCCTCCCGCTGACGTTTAGAGAGAAGCGAGCTACTCGGAGACAGGAGGGGCATCCCCATCCATCCAGCTATCATGCTCCGGGCTTGTTCCAGGCGTTCGCTCACCCGGACTAACTCGTCGGATTCTCTTTGCTCACTAGGAGGATCCAACGAAAGACTAGGGGAAGGAACTTGAGCCTCGGGAACCCCAGATTCGTCTAAACCTGCATCAAAACCCTCGGTGTCTTCAGCAGAATCTTCTGAAAACCACTCTCTAGTGGTTTGGCGGCCCCCCTGTCTCGAAGAGTGAGGAGCTCCCCTTGGATGATGAAAACCACTCTCTAGTGGTTTGGCGGCCCCCCTGTCTCGAAGAGTGAGGAGCTCCCCTTGGATGATGACCGTGTTCTGCCAGATAGGAACTTTGGAACCGGAAGCCCTAAGGATTAGCGCTAGCGCCCCGATACCACCGATATTACAAGAGCGTGTGGTGCAGATCGCGATCCTTTGTAGGAAGTTCGAAACGAGCATGGGTGCAACCAGCATGAGTCCAGAACCATCCCCGAGCACCATCCACTAACCCTCCTTCAAAATGTAAGTGGGGTTGATGTTCCCCACATACAGCCGGTCGTACCTGAACTAGCGGGCGAATCTACAAGGAATATACGGCTCGAGGAAGCACACAGAGCCTGTTCGTAGGATATAGTACCCCGGTCGAATATTCACCAGCCATCTAAAGGCACCACGGGAAAGAACGGTGTGATGGTTCACTGTCGATACGTCACTAAGAGACTCGCCATATCCTCCTCCACTGAAGTAGAATAGCCAAAGTGGGAGAGCGTCTTCCGTGCGTCGGGGATATCCTTACACTTCCAAGAGCATCTCTCTAGGTGCTGGACGAACGGAACGAACCTGTCTCCTTGAAGAGTCGCTGGGACGCTCATCAAGCACTCGCAGTGGTAGACAAACCACGCCATCAAGTAAGTATACGGCAACCCCACTCTAGGGTTAGGGGTCCTGATGATTTCCCCCTCTCCTTCATCGACAATCGACACACGGCAAAATTAGGCCGTCAATGTGCAGAGTCCCCGATGGATACAGGCAACCATCGCCGACACCAACGCGTAAGACTTTTCGTAGGTGAAACGAACTGCGAGATACATGACCTCCACCGGAATCGCCTCGAAGGAATAAGTGGGGACCACGCACCTCTTCAGCCACAACATGAGGTACCCCGCGAGCAAGGCCTTTCCAGATATAAGGGACTTGGCCTGGTGGTGGAACAAATGAAAAATCGTTTCAAATTTGAATCCTCCCTCGTCATGCTCGAGAGTCATGGTGGCTCCCCCTTCGACCATCCTCCTTTCCACTTCGGCCTGGTCGCACTCGCCTAGCGCCAGAGTAGGCCTTCCCTTGATGTTATTCTCCGGGAACAAGTAGTCAGCCCAGTTCTTATGGCTGATCCCTGAGGCCCTCTTCTTCTTGCCTTTATGGTCTACTACCCCAGGGTATTGAGGCATATATGGTAGTGACAGAGCAACTCCCATAGGGTCTCGACCAGCAGGTGGATCGGGTCAACAGTTGGTCAATCTCATCTTGACCTGGGACGTACTCCTCGTAAGGGAAGCTTCCTAAAGGCAACCCGACACATCATACATCTCGTGAAGGGTTATGCCGAGTTCTCCATTGGGAGTAAAGAACGTGCTGCTGTTCGCACAATACAGTTCCAAGATGTTGTGGAACTGGGGAGCATTAATTTTTAGACCGTGTTGAGTAGCCCAAATGGCTACATAGAACTCTGAATCCATGAGGTCAGAATTCTCGGCCAAAACGTAGTCAGTAATTTTGGACCACCAAGTGTTGCTACCCGGCGCAGAGTAGATCCACCCTGGGGCCCTAGAGTCCTTCGGAGGAAAGCTCCCACCTGCTTGAAAGAAGTGATGACGGAAGGTCTAGTAATTTAACTAGATCTGAAATGTATTTTGTTCTTGCTCTCTTTCTTTGAAAATCATAGACCCACCCTCGAGTACCAGCAAAAAGCATTACAAATTGTAAAGATAGCTGAAAAGAATTTTGGATTTCCTACAAGGATGTTCTACCCTTGCACAGAATGTTGTAATATGAGCCATCAAGATGGAAGTACTATTTTTGAACACTTGGTTACAAAGGGGATGGATCTTTCATACCGAATGAAATCACATTGGAATAAGCATGGAGAGAAACAAGAAAGTGGTGAGAAGCTTGATTATGAAGCCACTAAGGACAAGACATATAACTTATTCCAAGCTGCCTACTTTATGGATGAAGAACTTGTCCAGCCTATACCTATTAATGAACCTACTAAACATGGACATGGTGACGAGTTCATAAGAAGACTAGAAGAAGCACAAACTCCTTTGTATCCAGGCTGTGAAAGTTACACAAAGTTGTCAACCATTGTAGATTTGTATGGACTCAAAGGCAAGAGTGGATTATCAAGTAAACATTTCAATGAGCTGTTAGATATCATTCAACGTATGTTGCCAAAGGATAATGTTTTGCTAGATTCAGCCACCTCGATTAAAAGCTTCCTCAAGATATTTGACACGGGGTATGAAAAGATTCACGCTTGTGTGAATGATTGTTGTCTCTTTAGAAAGAAGTATGAGGAACTGGACGGGGTATGAAAAGATTCACGCTTGTGTGAATGATTGTTGTCTCTTTAGAAAGAAGTATGAGGAACTGGACAACTGTCCAACATGTGGTGCTTCAAGATGATGATTGTTGTCTCTTTAGAAAGAAGTATGAGGAACTGGACAACTGTCCAACATGTGGTGCTTCAAGATGAAAGATAAATAAGCGTACTAAAGAAATTAGAAAAGGTGTTCTAGTTAAGGTTTTGAGATATTTTCCTATTATTCCTAGATTTAAAAGGATGTTCAGATCTTCACAAATGGCTAAAGATTTGAGATGGCATTTTGGTAACAAAAGCACTAACGGGAAAATGCGTCACCCTGTTGATTATTTAGCTTGGAACATAGTTAATGATAAATGGCCCTCATTTGCAGCTGATCCACACAATCTCAGACTTAGACTTGCTACTGATGGTTTCAACCCATTCTCCATCTTAAGCTCTAAATATAGTTGTTGGCCGGTAATGCTTGTGAATTATAATTTGCCTCCTATGTTGTGCTTGAAGAAAGAGAATATTATGCTAACATTATTGATTCCTGGTCCAAAGCAACTGGGAAACGATATAGATATCTATCTGCAACCACTTGTAGATGATTTGCAATTGTTGTGGGAGAATAGGGTTGAGGCTTATGATGCATTTAGTAAATCAACTTTCAATTTGAAGACAATATTGATGTGGACTATAAATGACTTTCCAGCATATGGAAATATTGCTGGCTATTCTACAAAAGGAAGAAAAGCATGCCCTATATGTGGAAAAAATACACATCATAGATGGTTATGCTTCAGCAAGAAGTTTTCATACATAGGTCACAGGAAATTTCTGAAACCCTCACATCCATACCGAAGAAAGAAATCGGGGTTTGATAATAGTGTAGAGCATGACAGCAAGCCCAGAGCCCTAACAGGTCACAAATATTTCTGCTGTTCTAAATGATTTTCCAAATGATTTTAGAAAAGGTGGAGATAAAAAAAGGAAAAGGAGTAATAATGAGATGGTGGTGATGATGATGAGGATGAGGATGACACAAGTGACATTGATAATCAGAATGAGCTTACTAGGTGGAAGAAAAGATCAATCTTTTTTCTTTACCGTACTGAAGGTTACTATTCTATTTTTTCCTTTATTTCATATTTTTTATATATTTTGTTTTAGATTTATAATTTCTTAATGTATTTCTCTATTTTTTATTTGTAGGAACTTCTATTACATCATAATTTAGACGTGATGCATATAGAGAAAAACATTTGTGAGAGCATAATAAGCACTATGTTGCATAGTGGGAAATCAAAAGATGGGATAAATGCTCGTACAGACTTGGAAGATATTGGAATTAGGAAAGACTTGCATCCAGAACAGCGGAGAAGCAGATTGTACCTCACCAGCACCACATACATTTTCAAGGTTTGGAAAAAAAAAAGATTTTGCAAGAGGATATATGACTTCAAAGGGCCTGATGGTTTTTGCTCAAATATCGGGAACTGCATAACAATTGATGTATCCTTTTGAGAGGTTAGATTTTTTTATTATTCTTTTTCATGCTGAAATCCATTATGCAATTATAATTTGCTCATGAACAAGATTAAATTCTTTTATTTAGGTACATGAACACACTAAAAAAATGTGTCCGAAATCCTGCGAGACCTAAGGGGTGTATTGTAGAGTCATACCTAGCTGAAGTGTGCATTGCCTTTTGTAGCGAGTTTCTAAAACAGTCGATACATGTGAAGGAAAAGGAAGTTCGCAATGAAGAATTTGAAAATGATGTCATTTTTGAAGGTCGTTCTATATCTAAGACTACTTCAATCACACTTATCAATAAAGAGAAAGATATTGCACATCGTTCAGTATTACTAAACACAACAATAATGGATCCATTTTTAGAGTAAGTACATTGCTATTTATGTACTTATTTAGTTTGCTTTTATATTTATTAGTTTTATTTTATAATTCATATGATCTTGTGTTCTTGTGTTCTATTAGTATGTATTTGGAGGAGTTGAAAGCAAAAGACAAATGGTTTGAAAAAAAATCAGACATTACTTTGGAAGCGACATACTGAGGAAATTACAGAATAGACAAAAAATAAGGTTATTTAAAATTAATCATCTCAAAGCTATTCTTGTATTTATTACTTAGCTGAGGTACACCATTTAACCCTTATATTAATATTTTGTAGATTCCTATTGTTTCTAATGATCATTCAAAGACATTAAGATGGTTGGCATATGGTCCTAAAAAGAGTGCACTATCATGTAAGGGATACATTATCAATGGGCTGCGGTTTCACACAAAGGATGTTAATGGGGAAACACAAAATAGTGGGGTGACTTATGATGCAATAACCATGTGTAGAGAAAGTGCAAAAGATACTGCACAAGTGGCTGATCTGGTTTCATATTATGGGATATTGACAGATATCATTTCAATAGACTACCATCTATTTTATGTTCCAGTGTTTAAGTGTCATTGAGCCAATAAAGGAAATGGTGTTAAGGAAGAAGATGGATTCACACTTGTAAACTTACAGCAGAGTCAAGTATCATTTGCAAGAGATCCATATATCCTTGCATCTTAAGAAAAACAGGTTTTTTTATTCAAGAGAAGATGATTCATATAATTGGTATGTAGTAATGAAGGCACCACCAAGAGGTTACCATGAGTTGGAGACAGATGATGAGAATGCACCAAGAGGTTACCATGAGTTGGAGACAGATGATGAGAATGCAGATGCATCTTTTTTGCCACAGGAAATTGAAATGGATATTGATGATTATGAGACATTTGCCACAGGAAATTGAAATGGATATTGATGATTATGAGACAGAGAGTTATGTCAGGGTGGACTGTGAAGGACTACTTGTGTGATTGGAACTAGTTAGAAAAGGTGGTTGATTGTTGATCATACTTTAAAGTGTTTGATTTATCATGTCTTATTGGCTGCTACTTTATAATGATTTTGGTGTTGTTCAGGCTTTAAATGTGTGTCACTGTATTTATTTGTGATTTTAATATATGTATATTTTGTTTCACATATGAAACCAGGTTTAACTATATAGATACTTACCTTTATTTTTTCTAAGACAGATAAACGAGGATAGTTGGTGAGACTACAAAGACAGGTCGGCGTAAAAGGAAGAACAGTATTATGGTATAGTTATCGCATGATCATATACCTATATTATCCTTTTCTGCTTTTTGTTATTTTAGTTTTCTATATTTGTCCTATTTTTTAGGTTCCTACTCTTAATCTTGTTGTTTCATCGTGTTCTTTTGTATGTTTCCTACTCCTTAGGAATTAGACTAGTATTTTGATTTTTAGAAGAAGTAGATGGTCTTAATTAGAAGGTTTTTAATTAAATATTGGTCAGGTTAATTTCTTGGAACCACGAGACAAAGCTAAGAGAGATATAGTTAGAACCTAGCTAAGTACAATGATATCTACATATAATATCTAGCTGGCATAGATTCTCCATTTTTTGGCATTTTACACTTGCTATCTATTTCCATTTAACTCATCTTAGTTCTAGGTAAGTTTGTCATGTTACTCATTTTTTGGGTTTAATAAAAACAGTAGATAGATCCCTTGCATATCAATGTTTATCATCGTCGGTTAATCTCTGATTGTGGTTGTAATGTGACCGCTATTTTTATTTTACATTTTTCATATCATATGTTTCCTCACAACAAGTTGAAGCCAACCCATATTGGGAAAACACCTGTAACCGCCCGCTTAGGGTTGCGTGTCCAGGTCCACGAGCCCGTTGAGATTCTACACTCACATGGGAGTGGATCTAAACATGTGACTCTTGAGAACACCAACAAGGTGGTATATCCCCAGAAGGAAACATGTCTGTCGAACGATGATGACTTTACACCTGGGAAGTTGTGATAACATACGATAGGTTGCTCCGGCCACAATGCCGATGAGTTGTACTATCAAGTTAGGGGTATGAAGAAATCTCAAAAGAGAAGTATCCAAGAATCAGACTCTCATTGTCCGTGTGAAAATTTAATCAGGGCAGTATTATGAGCATTTAGCTATCCTAGGACTGTTCTACGGAGGGTCTTGGTACTCCAAAGGCTTCCCTCTGAAGCGTCAAAATCCAAGTCAAGGTGTTTCTGCAAAAGAAAATCAAACGGTCAAGAGGAAGAATTCCCTGAAGTCACTATCAACATAGTTGACAAAGGAAGGTCAGCGATTGTCTCGAACAGCTCTAATCCCGACTTTTTTTCGGGAAGAAAAATCAATTCAAGAATAGACTAATGAATGTCTTGGCTCTAGCTTGAAGCCTTCAAACATAAGGATTACCCGAGGATGCACAAAGGACTGCCTTCAGATGATGAACTTTTGGAGCTCCGCAATCACCTCTAATGATACGAAGTCTAGCATGGGACAAGCTCGTGAAGTGTTCATGGTCAACTCTGAGCAAATAGCCAAAATCCTCGAAGACGCTTTGGCCAAGCAGAAGGAGGAGTTCAAAGTTAAAATGAAATTAACTGTGTAACGAATAAGGGAATTACATGACCATAAGATTCAGACTTTTTTAGATCAGATAGCTGAATCCAGCCATTGCTACATTGCCAATCAGGCAGACAACGATCCGGAAGTGGAGGAAAATCTTAATGCTGATACCCCTCTCGATAGCAAAAATGCTAGGGGTGGTCCCATTAATAATAACAATGTTAGGGGTGGTCCCGTTGTTCCTCCCTAAAATCACCCAAAGGGTAATACATGCAAAGAGAACAAGAAGATGAAAGACCTCGAGTGTAAGATCAACACCTTGATGTCCACTCAAGAGGTGAAGAAGACCGGGATTTCATGTCTGTATCCTAGAGAGTTGGAGTCTATTTTGTATCCAACGAAGTTTAATCTAATTAACTTCATGCCATTCGACATAAGAGGTTCGCCTCCTTAGCATCTGTTTTATTTTAAGTCCTACCTGGGCATGATCTCTGACAATGAACCTTTGATGGTCCAGTCATTCTTTGGCATCCTTCACGGAGCTGCCTTTGACTGGAACCACTATCTTAAACCGAGAAGTATCAATAGCTGGAACGACATGGAAAGATTGTTTCTCACCAACTTCTTCGATGATGACACTGAGGTGTTTATTGAAACACTCTTCGATGAGAAGCAGAAAGAAAGAGAGTAGGTCGATAGCTTTGTCAAACGCTTCCAGAATAAGGTCATGAACTACCAAGATCCGATCACGGAGGAATTCATCCTCAAAACCTACCATAACAACCATTCCATTAATGTCCTAGAAGCCCAAGGGGTCATGTCGTCCAAAACCTAGAAAGACTTAAAAATGCACAGCGAGCAAGCTGAGTGTTTTATCAAAAGAAAAAAGGCTGAGAGAAGCCAATCGCCGCCGCCTGTGGATGCTGTTGATGTTAATCAAACTTTACAGCAACAATCATGGTAGAAATCACCACAACAGCCGCATCTGATGCAGCAGTACTCCTTCAGGGATGATGAGGTTCTAGACATCTTCAAGTATCTCTTGAACAACAATAAAATTGAGCTACTACTTATTAAAGATCAGGAGGGAGCTAAGAGGATTACGGATCCAAAATATAGTGCATACCATAGGAGGATTCTTCATCCCACCAAGGCTTGCTTCGCTCTCAAAAACAAAATCTAAGTCTTAATTGATTCCGGCGTCATAATAGCAAAACAAACCAAATGAGAACGATGATAACTCCAAAGAGTATACGAGTATAAACTGCTTCTCCATGTACTCCAAAGGGTATACGAGTATAAAATGTTTCCCAAACCTTTAACTGGTATACAAGGCTAAACTATTCGAGAAGTTTCTAGAGAATATTATATTTAATATTCTCAAGGATAACCCGGTTACCTCCGACTAGTATAAGGGGTTAAAAATTGCTCTGTTAAGTTGTGCGCTCCAACAATGTAGCCGAATGTGATTGAACTCAGGTTCACCCAAAAAGCTGGGGGTGGATACGAGGTTATCATGGCTGAATACAAAGTCAGGAACCAAGACGTGATTCTATATCAAGAACAGCAACATTGCCCACAAACGGGAAGTTCCTTAAAAAAGTACTATCCCTAGTATGTTCGGGATAACCTATTTAATGGGAAGTTCTTGAAGAATGCTACATATGGTATTCTTAAGGATACTCAAAACTAATTGATTATTTAAGGAGAAAACTAACCATCTGAATAATCTACTCATAATTATGGTAAAAATGATTAAGAACCTCCCGCTGTGACTGTTCAATCATGTTCAAAATGATTAAAACCCTTCTACTATGATTTTCAGAGCACTCTTTCGTTGAGATAAGATTCAATGACTTCATCAAGTCAATATTCCTCATGAAACTCTAAAATCCTTCAAAGATGAAGCATGTCTCATTTGCTTTTCCTTCATTTGATTCTTGGTTGGTTTCAATCGTCGGGATCAATTTTGTCAACTCCTACTGTGACTTTCCAAGCAATCTTTTGTTGAGATGAGATCCCACTGTAGAGTTCTTGATGATTCATAGTACTCCACCATAAAATCACTCACCGATTAAATCAACTGACGGTAGGTTCATTAAAATTCTTGTGGTTAAATCCATCCAAACTCCCGCTGTGTCCAAGCCTTTAACACTCCCACTGTTGAGCTCTAACATAACACCCAAAATTTCAATCCATGACAATTGCCAAACACCTTTTCGTGTTAAGGTTTTGTCACATGATACCGAAAACCCCCTCTGAGTGATTTGTGCAAATCAACATTCCTACTATTATTTGTACCTTCACTCCCTCTGTTTGCTTGGTCAAACCTTTAAACAGTTAGGGCTAACGCCAAAATCCCTTCTCGATTTCTTTCTTGAATGAGAGGTCTACAAATTGAACGATCAAATCTTTAAATAGATAGGATCGTCTCAAACTCCCTTCGGTCAAACCTTTAAACAGTTAGGGCCCAAACCAAAATCCCCTCTCGATTTCTTTCATGAACGAGAGGTCCACAAATTGAACAATCAAACCTTTAAACAGTTAGGATCATTTCAAAATCCATCTTGGTCAAATCTTTAAATAGTTAGGACCAAAATCGGAATCCCTTTTTGATAAAGGAGAGGCTTTCAACTACATCGAGCGATCAAACTTTTAAAAAGTTAAGATCGTCTCAATCTCCCTTTTGGTCAAACTTTAAACAGTTGGGACTAAAGTTGGAATTTTATCTCGATAAATGAGAAATTCATTTTCAGATTGGATAACTAAAGATTTAAATAGTTAGGGTTATTTAAATCTTTTTTATTCTCTAAGTAGAGATCCCACTCTTAGTTTCATCCTTCAGATTCTCGAAGTGGACATACACTTTGAGTTTCTTTTGCACCTAGAGATAGAATATAAAAATTTTCATCTCCAGCATCGGGTTAGTCTATTCCCTAAGAGAAGACACAACACAGCTCTTCAGCACCAAAATCCATGTGTTTCATACATGGAGAACTTTATCTTGACTCCTAAATAGAGATAAGTCTGTGCCTAATACGTGTTACCGGTTAGTCTTTTGATGTAAAAAAGACAAAAGCCCACGTATTCAACATCGTGGCAGGCCGTTATTAATAATGCTAAAATTCATGCCTTACACGCACGGAGAATTTTATCTCGAATCCTAAGTAGAAATAAGTCAACGTCGAACAAGCGTTGCTGGTTAATCTTTTGCTATGAAAAAGATGCTAGGATTCTTGTCTAGGGGAGATTATCTTGATTCCTAAATAGAGATAAGTCAGCATCTAACACATGCTGTCAGATAGCCTATTCCCATAACAATGATAAAGTCTACGT